GAGAAAGCAAAATGAAACCTTGATCACTGTCCTTCTCTGAGCAAGGCTTTCCAAAAGGCTGCTAAGGTATATTTTGCACCAACTTGCCATTTAGCCTAAGTTACTTCTTGGTGCATTAACCTCTTGGGAAGCTACATTCTTTGTTTCAGGAAACCAATATTCATTAGTGATAGCAGCAGAGATGAATAAACTAGTAATGCACTGTATCAGGCGAAGGTACAGCCACAGAACCCAGAGAGGTCTATGTTGATACTGGCATGCCAGAGATGTAGTGGAGGAAAAGGAAAGGGAAAATGAAAACAGGCAGAATGGACACATGGAGGGAGAAGCACAAGAGGAAAACATAAGGAAAAGCAACAAGTTAATTCATTCACAATGAATCAGGCACTTTCTGTGTACTAGGCTCTGTGCTACTTTCTGGAGATATAAGATAGACATGTACCTTGTTTTCAGGGAGCATCATTCAGTATTTTGCCCATAGAATCCTTCTCTGTTGAAACTAAAGGCTTGAATTTTTTCTTCAGTTCTTTTACCTGGAGAAATGCCAAGAAATACCAAACCTTTTGGTTTTCTAACTCCAGGTCTTTGCACATTTCATTATAATACTTTACTTTGTCTTCTTGATGCGCCCTTTGAAATCTTTTGTTTAGCGGTTCTACTTCATTTCTTCCATTCATTTTAGCCAGTCTCTGTTCAAGAGCAAGTTTCAGAGTCTTTTCTGATACCCATTTTGGTCTTCCTTTCCTGTCTTTTTAATGACCTTTTGCTTTCTTCAAAGCTCTGGTGGTGCAGTGCCTAAGACATTTGACTGCTAACAGAAGGCTGGCAGTTCAAACCTACCAGCTGCTCCACAGAAGGAAGATGGGGCAATCTACTTCCATAAAGATTTACCACCATGGAAACCCAACGGAAGTTGCTATCAGTCAGAATCAACTCAGTGGCAGTGGGTTGGGATTGCTTTGCTTTGCTTTCTTCATGTATAATTTTCCTGATGTCATCCCACAACTCGTCTGGTCTTTGGTCATTGGTGTTCAATACGCCAACTCTATTCTTCAGATGGTCTCTAAATTCAGGTGGGATACACTCAAGGTCGTATTTTGGCTCTCGTGGAATTTTTAAATTTTCTTCAGCTTCAGCTTGAACTTGTATATGAGCAATTGATGGTCTGTTCCACAGTTGGCCCCTTGCATTGTTCTGACTGATGATATTGAGCTTCTCCATTTTCTCTTTCCACAGATGTAGTTGATTTGATTCCTGTGTATTCCATCTGGTGAGGTCCACATGGATAGTTACCATTACAGACAAGAAGGAAATAGTAATTTAATAATATTTGTAACAAGTGTTTTTTTATCCTTTTTAATAATAAAAATGTGTGGTTAATGCACCAAGAAGTAACTTTTGGAGAAAGGTATTTTCAATGCATAAATTGTTGGTCTTACAACATTCTATCACACAATCTCCAGTGTAATTTCTATCACCAAGGCCATATTTTCCAGATACCAATGCTTCTTTGTTCCCAACTTTTGCATTCCAATGACCAATAATCATCAATTGCATGTTTGGTCAATTTCAGATTACAGAAGTTGGTAAAAATATTTAATTTCTTCATCTTTAGCTTTAGTGTTTGAATAATGGTTGTATTAACTGGTCTTCCTTGTAGGCATATGAATATTATCCTATCACTGACAGCATAGTACTTCAGTACACATCTTGAAATGTTCTTTTTGATGATGAATGTGATGCCATTCCTCTTCAATTTGTCATTCCCATCATAGTAGACCATATGATTGTCTAATTCAAAATGGCCAATATACATTCCATTTCATTTTGATAACTTCCAGTTTTCCTAGATTCATACCTCATACATTCAAAAGAAGATGGAAGGAATACACAGAGTCACTGTACCAAAAAGAATCGCTCAAAATTCAACCATTTCAGGAGGTAGCATATGACCCAGAACTGATGGTCATATGAAGGAAGAAGTCCAAGCCTCATGGAAGGAGTTGGTGAAAAATAAGTCTCCAGGAATTGATGGTATACTCACTGAGCTGTTTCAACAAATAGATACAATACTGAAAACTCTCACTTATTTATGTTAAGAGATTTGGATAGCTACCTGGCTATCCAACTGGAAGAGATTCATATTTGTACCCATTTCAAAGAAAGGTGATCCAACAGAATGCGGAGATTATCCAACAATATCATTAATATTACATACAAGTACATTTTTGCTGAAGGTAATTTAAAATTGATTGTAGCAGTACATTGACAGGGAACAGCAAGATATTCAAGCCAGTTTCAGAAGAGGACATGGAACAAGGGACACAATTGCTGATGTCAGATGGACCTTGGCTAAATACAAAGAATGCCAGAAAGATGTGTACCTGTATTTCATTGACTGTGCAAAGGCATTTGACTATGTGGATCATAACAAATTATGGAGAACATTGCGAGGAATGGAAATTCCAGAGCACTTCATTGTGCTCATGAGGAACCTCTCTATAGACCAAGAGGCAGTCATTTGAACAGAACAAGGGGATACTGCATGTTTTAAAATCAGGAAAGGTGTGTTTCAGGGTTGCATCTTTTCACCACACTTACTCAATCTGTGTGCTGAGCAAGTAGTATGAGAAGCTGGAATATGTGAAGAACAACACAGCATCAAGATTGGAGGAACACTCACTAACAACCTGTGATATGCAGATGACACAAGCTTGTTTACTGAAAGTGAAGACTTGAAGCACTTATTGATGAAAATCAAAGACTGCAGCCTTTAGTATGGATTACACCTCAACATAAAGAAAACAAAAATCCTCACATATGGCCCAATAAGCAACATCAAGATAAACAGAGAAAAGATTGAAGTTGTTAAGGATTTCATTTTACTTGGATTAACAATCAACATCCATGAAAGCAGCAATCAAGAAATCAAATGACATATTGCTCTGGGCAAATGTGCTGCAAAAGATCTCTCTGAAGTATTGAAGAGCAAAGGTATCACTTTGAAGACTAAGGTGAACCTGACCCAAACCATGGTATTTTCAGTTGCCTTATATGCAAGTGAAAGCTGGACAATGAATAAGGAAGACTGAAGAAGAATTGATGCATTTGAATTGTGGTGTTGGTGGATCATATTGAATATACCATGGACTGCTAGAAGAATGAACAAACCTGTCTTGGAGAAAGTACAGCCAGAATACTCATTAGAACACTCATTCTTCACAATGTTCTCCATAATTTGTTATGATCCACATATGATGGTCAGACTTCATCTCTCCCACTTTGGTCATGTTATCAGAAGGGACCAATCCATGGAGAAGGATATCATGGTTGGTAGAGGGTCAACAAAAAAAGAAGACCCTCAGCAACATGGACTGACACAGTGGCTGCAACAATGCTCAAACACAGCAAGGACTGTGAGGATGTCACAGGATCAGGCTGTGTTTCATTCTGTTGTGCATAGGGTCACTATGAGCTGGAATCAAACCACCAGCACCTAATAATAATAGTCTACTTAGGATTCCCTCAGTGGTGCTAAATGGAAGGTCAAAACCCAGAGGAGCCACAGAAGAAAGACTTCGTGATCTGTTTCTGAAAAATCAGTCATTGAAAATCCTACGGCACACAGTTCTACTTTGACACACATCAGGTCAACATGAGTCAGAATTCACTCAATAGCAACTGGGTTTTGCTTTGCTTTTTTAATCTACTGAAGGAAACAGACAAGAAGGAAATAGTAATTTAATAATATTTGTAACAAATGTTGTTTTTTTTTTTCCTTTTTAATAATAATAATGTGTGCAGTGCATCAAATAACCAGAAGTCAGAAGCTCAGGGCTCTCAATCTGTGGGCTGGAATATTTGATGAAATAGTAACATATTCAACTGCTCTGGGTCTAGTAAAGGGCAAGGACTCTGAGGTTTAGAACCTCTGCTGCTGGTGGTGAACTTGAGTAACATAAGAAACAGCCTTGCTCCTTCCAGATTCAGAGAGGAGCAGTTAAGAGAGGAACCAGCCTGCTTTCTCCCAGGTTCAACCAGACAGCTTTGACCAGCTATTGGGAGACCAATGTGAAAACTGTTGTGTATCTCAGTGGAAGATATTTCACGGAAATCTGAGCATTTATAAACTAAATGGAAATAGAGTGGGCTGAGTGTTAGGTTGATGGGTTTCTGTGCACTGACCAGCTGGCCAGTGGGATGTCTTTTGGGCTCTGCCAGTGAGAAACAATAGTCTTCTGGCAGCAACCACTCATGGTTGATATGCATCCACTGGTGAGGGCCACCATCCTTCCTCAACCCATTCCATGCACTCATCAGTCAAACAGTATATTTCATAGAGGCCTAGTATATGCCAGGCTGTGAAGATGTTACAGTGGTGGGAGGAACTGACCATCCAATTCTGAGAGTCCCACACTTTCTCAGTTCATGCTGCCCTTAGTGTCTTAACTGAATTTTCACTGACATCCTTTGTTGTTGTTGTAGCTGCTGACCAGTCACCCAGACTCAACATGACCTTGTTCACAACCAAACTGCCCTCCCCATGATCAGTAGTGAATCAGACCACTGTAGTCTATAGGGTTTTCATTAGTTGATTTTCAGAAGTAGATGGCCAGCCCTTTCTCCCTAGTCTAAGTCTGGAAGCACCCAAGAAACCTGTTTACACTCTAGCCTCTGGTTAAAGACCAGTGGTGGCTGTCCAAAAGGTGCAGGGAATCTAATCCAGATCTCCTGCATGGAAGATAAGACTTCTTCCACTGAACCAACACTCCAAGCCAAAAGAAATACCTGTCCACTGCCCGGTGTGCCCTGTCCTTGACGGGACCCGGGTGCCCCTTTGCGCCCCTCGTGCGTGCCAGGTAGACTCTCTCCTAGTCCGCCCATACCCAGCTCCGCCCAGTACGCCCCGCCTCTCGCGCCGCGAGTCCGCTCCTCTTGGTGATCCCCGCCCAGGTCCAGCTCTGCCTGGTGCGCCCCACCGCCGCCCAGCCCGCGCGGACCCAGGGTCCTCGGACGGAGGGGCCATGGCCACCCCGGCCCCTGTCACGCGGCAGGTCAGCGGCTGCGCCGCCCCAGCTCCGGTCCCGACCGGCCCGGAGTGCGGACAGCCCTTGGCCTCTGCTGTGGCCGAGCTGCCGGTGCTGGACGCCTCCGGGAAGCGGATGCCTTTCGGCGCGCTGTTTCGGGAGCGTCGAGCTGTCGTGGTCTTCGTGCGGGTGAGAGTGGCGGAAGGAGGACCCGGGGCAGAGACCTCCCCCAGAGACTGGGGTGGAGGGTGCTCCACAGCTTCGGCTGCGGGCAGGGGGCGGGGAGAGGGCACAGAAAGTCCCTGGAAGGGTCTGAAGCTGAGAGTGGGATCCAGCTGGGCCTGGCCCTTTCCATTCTCGTCCACTAGTGGCTTCTGGGATAGGAACAGCGCCTCTCCCTTCTTTCAACAGGAAAACACCCAACCGAGCAAAGGCCGCTTTTCCAGAGGGCGGGGCGGCTTAGCAGGGGCTAGATCGACCCGATTTTAATGCATCTAGACACCATTGAAGGAGTTTTGGTGGCGTAATGGTGAAAGCATTGGACTGCTAACCGAAAGGTCGGTGGTTCGAACCCATTAACCGCTCTGCTCCATGTTAAGCAGTCGGCTTCTGTAAGCTCCACAGCCTTGAAAACCTTATGGGGCAGTTCTACTCTCTCCTTCAGAGTCACTATGAATAGGAGTCGACCCGGTTGCAGTGGCTCTGGTTTTGGTTTGGACGTCACTGACACCCTTTTCTACCCATTTTGGATGTTACGTGTATTAGCTTCACGCACAACGAAGCACTTAGTGCCTCCTGGACACTGAAGGATGTTACGTTGCTAACTTGTCTTTTTTGCCATGTTGGGATTTCAGCATTTCCTGTGTTACATCTGCAAAGAATACGTAGAAGATCTGGCCAAAATCCCCAAGAGTTTCTTAGAAGTAAGTTTCCCTAAAGTTAGCAGCAGCGCCCCGTTTCAGGGCAACCTTGTGAAAGTCACTTGTGGTTTCAAAGTGCGGTGGGGAAGTGCGGAGTGCGCGACTTGTCCAGTGCAGACACACAGACCTCCTCACAGGTCTCTCCAACACCTCCAAAAAGAAGAGACACTAGAGCTCTATTTCTCCAATATTGAATGATAATCATCAAACCCATAAATGCTGGAAATTATTGGTATTTTCTTAATTGTTTTAATCACACTCCAAATTGTTGTTCATTATAGGAAAATATGACTGTTTCTTAAAGGCAAGAATTTATATCTGTTAATAGGATGCATATCCCAAGTCCCCGTGATAACCACATACATATGTATTTCACAGGCACATACAGGTTTATTTCCAGGTGAGCACTTTTGAGTGAAGGCATTGAGCAACCTTTGTAAAACTCAGATCTGTTTTCAGCAGACTTTGTCGATTGAATTGTGAAAAAATAAACTTGGTTTAATAACCAGACCTTGATAGATATTATTCTGATTTTATGTCTACCTTTGGGGGCAGATAATTATTGACTATGCTGTATTAAAATTCTTACTTAGCAAAAGAATCATGTAACATTTTGGTATTTCTTTGCTTTGACTCACACCAATTTTGCTGTTTATTCTTCTAGAAGCCTTTAGGTGGCATTAGAATGGAACAAAAGAGTTCTATTAATGGAAGTTGTATAAGTATATATAATTTTTAATATGTACATATTCTTTTTCCTAAAGGAAGCAAATGTCACCCTTATAGTGATTGGACAGTCATCCTACCACCATATTGAGGTAAATGTTTATCAAATTGGGAAACTAACAGATTAAGTCTATTTAATATATAAAAATTAGATTATTTGAATCACCAAGTGCAGGTTACCTTTGCTAGAATTAGGTTGGATTGTTGTTACTTAGCTCACATTTGTTCTTCTAAAAATCCCAAGTATCCTGTTTTTTCAGCCTTTCTGCAAACTGACTGGGTATGCTCATGAAATATATGTTGACCCTGAAAGAGAAATTTATAAAAGATTGGGAATGAAAAGAGGTGAAGAAATTGCCTCCTCAGGTAAGACATGTCTTAAGTAGAAAACACTACTGGTGTATTCTCATGTTTATATATATATATGGTTAGGAGATCTAATGGTAAATTTATAAATTAGGCTTCTTTTCATGTTTCTATTAAGTGGTCCGTATACACCAGACCTACAAGAGTTAATTTCCTGGGTATAATGACCCAGAAAACTATTTGTGGAGTACCTACTGAGTGGAAAAAAACAAGTTACAGAACAATGTTTTGAAAACAAAAACTATTTTCATAAACTTGAAGATTTATAGTACATATGTAAGTGTATAATGAAAAAGGTTTTAAAAGTTACTGTAGTGTTTACTCCAAGGGATGGAAATGAGAAAAGTAGTTTTTGTATTTGTATTTTTTTGCAATGAGTACATTTTACTTTTGTAATTAAAAGAAAAATAATACTAAATTTACATCTTTTCATACTGTAACACCATGACTTGGGATGAATACTCTGTGTTCTCTAATTGATGAAATCCTAGCTATCATTTGAAGCCATGCTCAAAGTGATCTTAATAGCTCTTGAAGCAGAAGTAATTATTTCCCTCATTATACTTTAATAATAAGGAGATATGATGGTTAAATTATTCGACTACTAACCAAAAGGTCAGCAATTTGAATCCACCAGCTGCTCTGTGGAAGAAAGATGAGACTCCTTCCTTCCAAGGAGTGGGTGGTGCGTTTGAACCTCCAACCTTCTGGTTAGCAGTCAAGTAAGTGCCTTAAGTGCTACACTACCAGAGCTCCTGTGGAATGGGTATTTAACCTCTATTATAACACTTAAGGTGGCTGGGAAATAGAATTATTTAAAGAGTTTGATATTTTATTCATTTTTATATTGTCCACATTCCCTACACTTAACACAATTCCTTTACTAAGCTCTTGTAATTAAGAACTTAATAAACTGCAGTTGAACTATTTATGTGTTTTAAGTAGAAAGAAATTGTTTTCTATAATATCAGATAAAAGAACTCAACTAAAACTCAAATCAGTCATTCTCAGCAAATATTACTGAACTCTTGTCTGTGACACACTATGTTGGATACTCCCAGAGGACAATGAAAAAAGACATAGCCCATGCCATCCAGAAGTTTATATTCTACTCTGAGAGACAGAAACAAACAGACGATCATAGTGCACACACTCGGAGGGCTTTTTGTAATAGAGGAGAGCATGTATTAGGAATATCTGCATCAGAAAGGCGGGGAGAGAGAAGTGTCTGGGAAGGCTTCTCAAAGGAAGTCAAGCCTCAGCTCATTCTTAAAGGAGTTCGGAGGGTGAAGTGAGGGTAGGGAAAGGTGCTTCTCATAGCATGTGCAAAAGGACAGTGGCATGAAAAAAATGTGACGCATTTGGAGTACAGTTTCTCGCTGAGTGTAGGAGCCAGATGAGGAGTTGGTGTGAGCTAAGGAATAGGTCGTGGCCAATTCCTGTAGAGCCTGCTGTGAGATGCCGAGGAGTTGGGATTTACTCTCAAGGCAGTGGGGATGGGGAGGGGAGGTGGGCATACAAATGTTTAAAGCAGAGAACTGATACAATTATTTGTATAGTGTAGGGAAGAACTGTTGTTGCTGTTGTGTGCCATCGTGGGACCCGACTCATAGTGACCCCTCCTTGGGTTTCCGAGGCAGTATCACTACAGAAGTAGATTGCCCAACCTTCCTTCCGAGGAGTGGCTGGTGGGTTTGAACCTCCAGCCTTCTGGTTAGCAGTCAAGTGCCTTAGGCACTATGCTACCAGAGCTCCCTGGGGAAGAACTAGAACAGTAATATTCATGATAAGGTTTTGGTAATAGACTAAAAGAGAAATGACAGGCCTGAAGTGGGGAAGGAAAGGAGGGGCTGGATTTGAGAGCTGTTTATTAGATAGAGTTAATGTGAACCCTTTACTAATAGTTTTAAATAAGGCAACCTAAACTTTACTAAAATTCATGATGAGCCAGCATAAACATAGCATTTGCTCTTTTTCCCCCCCTCCCTCTCTCTGTGGAATAGGAAAATGCAACAGTACAGATTGTGAACCTGACTTTTTGGAACACTATTTTCATGTGCTCTAACAATCTCAGTTTGTAAGGGTTGTTCGTCACTTAGCACTTTAAATATAAACTGCAAGTTTCACTTTAGTTACATTACACCTCACCGGTCATTACCACAGTAAAGGTACAGGCTTGTGAAGAAAACACATGAATTCCTAGGAAATATATGCTTTTAAGGAGAGTACAGGCCGTTGCTGGTTACAAACTTGCCCTTTAATGTTATGTAAATTTGCCCTCAAGATGGATTGACATACTGGCTGCAAGGATGGGCTCAGGTATAGCTAGGATTGTGAAGATGGCAGATGACCAAGCAGTGTTTCGTTCCATCGTACATAGGGTCACTATGAGTTGAAGCCAACTCGATAGGAACAACAACAAAAAATTTGCCCTCACTTTGAAATATTTGAACCAATCCCAACTTGCGACAAATTCTTCATCATAATCATGTTGACTTGCTACACATGCTGCTTTTAAATCATTGAAAAAGCTTTGAGGCTTTTCTTGCACTAAAACCAAAAAACTAAACCCGTTGCCTATAGCGACCCTATAGGACAGAGTAGAACTGCTCCATAGAGTGTCCAAGGCTGTAATATTTATGGACACAGACTGCCTCATCTTTCTCCTGCAGAGCAACTGGTGGGTTCGAACCACCAAATTTAGGCTTAAAAGCTAATGCTTTAACCATTGCATCACCAAAGCTCCTTTCTTATATTAAAGTAAGGCTAAATGAGAAAGGTATGCACCTGTTCTGACTTGCCTACAAATTTGACTTAAAGACATACTTAAGGCCAGCCCATCCTCTTTCACCATAGCTGTGGGGATGGAAACACCTGCCCCATGTGCGAGAAGCCAGCTGGTATGATGACAACACGCCACTCTATGTTCTACCATGCCAAGATCTTGCAGGTGTCCTGGACTGTCTCCAGTAAAGGAAACTAGGGGAAATTTTGAATTACTGGACCTTGTGCTCCATCGTGGTGCAAGCTGTTTGGGCAAGAATCTGGGCCCTCTGCTGAAAGTGTAGCATGGCCACACAGCTGCTCATTGGAGGCATCACTGAATGGTGCATGAGTTTCATATTCCAGAAGGCTGGGAAATTGGCAGCAACAGCTGTGGGAGGTGGATTTTTTTTTCTCCTTAGGGCGCTCTGGTGGCGTAGTGCCTAAGGCATTTGACTGCTAACCAGAAGGCTGGAGGTTCAAACCCACCAGCCACTCCTTGGAAGGAAGATTGGGCAATCTACTTCTGTAGAAATGCTGCCTCGGAAACCCAAGGAGGGGTTACTATGTATGAGTCAGAAACAACTGGACGGCAGTGAGTTTGTTTTTTTGGGGGGGGAGGGGAAGGCGGTCAGCTTGCAAACCATACTAGCTACATCAAGGTTAACTGGTAGTGAGAAGAGAAGGATATGAAGAAAGTCAAGGAACAGCTAAAAATCTGTAAACAGATAACTAATGAAGTGAAGAGCAAAGCTGAAGAGGTGATATCATTTGTGAAGAAGAATATCCCTGTGACAAGGGGATTTTTTGGAGGCTTTCTGCTGGACATGGCATCCTAAGGCAAACAACTTCATTTCCATTGTTGGGTTGTTTTTCTTCCATCATTCATCATAATGTGTCAGTTTTGTTTTTCCAGCCAGAAGCATCTATACTCTGTCAATAGGGCATTGAGTCTCTCCTCATCATCGTTTCCTCCTGTGGCTTCCTCCTTGAACTGACAGATCGACATAGCTTTCTATTGGTACAAGTTAACTCAGTAGGGACCTACCTTGAACTTGCAGAAGATAGAAGAGACAGCAGACAATACATTCTCCTCCCAGCACATCCCCACATGGCTAGGCTATAGGTCAGCAAGAATGTTTCTTTTCCACATGCGAGGTGCAAGAGAAGGATGGGTGGATCTTCAAATGTTGCTCCAAACTGTTGATTTGGAAAAGAAATAGCAACCACATAAATATCTTGTTATTATGTGCTGCATGGAAAGGAATTGAATTGCCTTTAAGCATTAAATATTTTGCTATCTTGGTGTCTCCTTTCTTCTTTAGTTGGTTTTACACTACAGAAAGAGAGCTATTTATACTTGTTATAACCAGAAGGCTGGCAGTTCAAACCCACCAGCCACTCCTCGGAAGGAAGATGGGGCAATCTACTTCCATAGTGATACTGCCTCGGAAACCCAAGGAAGGGTCGCTATGAATCAGGTCAGACTCAATGGCATATAACAACAACAACAACATTGTTATCCTAACAAAAACTATAGCATAAACACTATAATTTAAAAATTCTGAATATAGAAGGAACCTGTGAAAGCAATCTACTTCCATAGTGTTACTGCCTCAGAAACCCAGAGGTTCGCTATGAGTCAGATTCAACTTCAGTGGGTTTGGTTTTTGGTTTGTGAAGGTATTGTATTTAGTGGAGAGGTCTTTAGGGAACCAACTGGTTCCACATCATGGAATGGCCCAGCTGAGGGAATCATGTAGGTGCATCAAGGTACTGTCACAGTATGTTTTGCACCATACAGGATAATGAACTCTATCACTGTTTCAAAAGTGGTATATAAATGATAAATAGGTGACTTTAGCTGGGGCTGGGAAGAAGCACTCAGATTTTTGTTTCATCGAAAAGATTTAATTTAAACTTTGAAATTTGAAGTCTTTTTCCCTTTTTGTCAGCGCATTAGAGGGTAGCCATGGCTCCTCAATCCCAGTGTTAGTATTTATTTAATCAGTCGGACATTTAACATTGAAGCATATTTTTTTGAGAAGGAGCATTCAAAGGTTCCACAATCAATACCAATGGAAGCAGCAGTCAAGAAATCGGGCGATGTATTGCACTAGGCAGATCTGCTGCAAAAGACTTCTTTAAAGTGCTGAAGAGCAAAGATGTCTCTTTGAAGACTAAGGTGCGCCTAACCCAAGCCATGGTATTTTCATTCACCTCATATTTATATGAAAGCTGGACAATGAATAGGGAAGACTGAAGAAGAGTTGATGCTTTTGAGTTGTGGTATAGGTGAAGAATACTCAAAGTCCCATGGACTCCCAAAAGAACTAACAAATCTGTCCTGAACGAAGTGCAGCCAGAATGCTTCTTGGAAGACAGAATGGCCAGATTTCATCTCACCTACTTTGGTCATGTTGTCAGAAGGAACCATTCCCTGGAGAAGGATATCATGCTTGGTAAAATGGTGGTGGTGGTTGTTGTTATGTGCCATTGAGTCGGCCCCGACTCATAGGCACATAACAACAACAACAACAACCACTTTACCAAGCATGATATCCTTCTTCAGGGAATGATTCCTTCTGACAACATGACCAAGTCAGCAAGAAAGAGGAAGGCCCTCAACAAGATGGATTGACACAGTGGCTGCAAGGTGGGTTCAGGTTCAGAAGGGATTGTGAGGCTGGCACACAACCAGGCAGTGTTTTGTTTTCTTGTACATAGAGTCACTATGAGTCAGAGCCAACTTGACAGCACCTAACAACAGCATAACAACGAGCATTCGAGGCATTCAGAATTGAAAAGGATACCACATAAGAAATTATTTCCATCATCAGATGTTATCTGCTATCTCCCAATGATCCCAACTCTTAAGATTTTTTTTTTAAAATAAAAGTTTATACACAGACTCTTAGAATCTTAGAACATTTTGTTATAATGACCTGTGTACATGCTTGCAACTAGAATATAAGCTTCCTAAGGACTAGGCTTTTGTCTTCTTTACCATTATAAACACAGGGCCTAGCACTTAATACATGTTCAATATTTGTCGAGTATATGAATAATGACCTCATAGAAAGGTATCTGAGAAAGGTGTTTATCCAAAGAATTATTTATGACTTTAAGAGTTCCGAGAACACACAGGTTAATTTTACTGGGAATTAAATCTTGCAGTCAATCCTTTGTAAAACATATGTGTCTTTAAGTCCTCGAGTTTAAAATGTTTGCCTTTTCACCTATCATGGGAATGATATATTGAATGTGTGGAACTTTTAAAAATTCATCCTATTATTAAAAAAATAAAAATAAATAAATAACCTTACCCATTTAAAAAAAAAAAAAGAATTCACCCTATTACATTTTTCCTTATTACATCATATCACTAGTTTAAGGCAACGTAAGTTATTTCACTTTGCAAAATGTATGAACCATCCTAAAATCATAAATAGTATGAGCCTTTTGGCTGCATATTTTTCTATAAGAACTCAAATTCTTTTTCATTTTTTATTATGGAAATTGTTAATCATATATAGCTGTGGAGAAAATAGTACAATGAAAATAGTACATGCATCCATCACCCACTTAAAGAAATCCCCAAATCATAACCATGCTTATTTTATCAGTTATTTTGGATTAAATACCAAATGTATTGCTTCATTTACAGGTATTTCATTATGTATTTCTAAAAGATAACAGCTCATTTTAAAAAAAAAACTTTTTGAAAAATAATAAATATAACACCATATTATCACACAAAAAAAGTTAACAATAATTCCTTAATATCACAACATATACAATGTTCAAAATTAAAAGTTAAAAAAAAGACACACTTGGGAATGAATCTCATTCCTAGCTTGAGACTCCTTGTATACTGTATTAAAATCTTTTAAACTTTTGTGACATATATTGCTATATTTCCAAATACAAAGTTTTAGATTGTCATAAAATAATTTTTAATGATTTCTCACTGAAAAAATTAAAGGCATAAATCTTAGAATCTGTATCAGAATAGTCCTACTTGGAAATTAAGACAGTAAAAAGATATAATTTAAAATTAACAGATACTATTTTATGAAGAAAAAGAGTAAAAAAATAAAGCAGTTAACTGAAAGAGTATATTGGATTTGGAAAAGACTAAAGAACAGTTTTATATGTAAGAATTAAATTCAAACTGGCAAAATTAGATTGTGCTCAACAGCAAAGGCTTAAATTCTAGGTTGTAGAATCTTCTGTTGGGCTTCCAAATTGTTATCAGAATTTAATATCAATTAAATAACCTTTTGGACATAAGAAGATAGCTTGGACTTCCGGACATTTACTTGAGATATGTTGTTGTTAGGTGCCATCAAGTCAATTTTCAACTCACAGCGATCCTGTGTGACAAAGTAGAACTACCCTGGAGGGTTTCCAGTCTTTACAGAAGTACATTGCCACATCTTTCTCCCATGCAGCAATTGAGTGGGTTTGAACCACAACCTTTTGGTTAGTAACCAAGTGCTTAACTGTTGCATCACCAGGGATCCCTTACTTCAGATATAGAATCCTGTTAACACAGTAAAATTTAGTCTTTTACCTATGTTTCTAAACTAATGAGCCTGCATTTATTTTTTTGGTTAGGTGAATCCCAAACATTATACAGAAATAAAAAAAATAAATAAGAGTTGGAGAAGAGAAATAATAGATACCTGGAAATATTAGGAAATTGGGCAGGTAAAAAGTTGCAAAATTATCAAAATAAAAAGCTAAAAGCTAGGCATAAAAGGGCAGGAACAGGAAAAAAATAAGGAGCAACAAGTGTGAAAAAAATGGAGTTTGAAAGGAGCAGGCAGCTTTGTTCTAGATCAGGCAAAGGGAGTGGAAGTGAAGTGAAGTATCAGTCCCTGTGAGAAAGGAACTAGAAAACCTAATGGACAAGGAAGAATGGAAAGGTGGCTGTACTAGCTGTTGCAACCGCTAACGCCCCTTTAAAGGCTCAGTAGCATAATGAGATAGAAGATTATTTCTTGTTCACTTAAAGTTCAAGATGAATGTTTCTGTTGAGTGTGCCTCTTCTCTAAGCAATGATCCAGAGACCCAGGACCCTTCCATCTTGGACTCTGCCATTTTCAACCCAAGACTGCTAAGAAATACAGAAAGAACATGGAGAATTGCTTGTACGAGGTTTTTAGGAGCTGGCCTGGAAGTCACTTATATTATGTTACTCACATTCCATTAGTTAGCACATAGTCACATGGCTGTACCTAACTGCAGAGGAGACTGAGAAATACAGTTTAATTGTAGGCCCAGGCCCCAAAAGAGGAAACAGGTTTTGACCAATGTTGAAATGCTACAGTGTCTCTTGAAAAGGAGTACAGCCACTTATTAGTGCTGAGAGAGTAAACAGAGTTATGTAGGGAAATTAAAAAGGAAAATGCTATCAGTTTGAGAAGTCTGTTGCAGTCTTTCTTCATGGCAGAAAATTATCTGGGTCTCTTTTCACTTCTTCCTGGAAAGCAGTGGTTCTCAACCAGCAACAATTTTGCCCCTAGAAAGGATTAGGCAATGTCTGGCCATTTTTGGTTGTCACTGTTAGTGGAGCGGATGCTACTGGATCTAGTGGGTAGAAGCCAGGAATGCTACTAAACATTTTACAGTCCACAAAACAAAGAATTATCTGATCCAAAATGTCAGTAGTGAAAAGGTAACGAAACCTGCTTTGAAGGAAAAAAAAAAAAAGAACAGAAAGTAAGATGGGACACAAGAAAGAGAATATTTTGTAGAAGTACCAACAGTATCTTCTTAATCTTATTGAATATAAAATAACATCTAAAGATGGTTCCATATATCTCAGGACAGAGTCCCCATGTGAAGTCAAATCTACTCTCAGGAAGCATTCAGAGCCTGTGGCGAGCAGTGACTGGCCCTCTGTTTGATTTTCAAGGAGACCCAGCTCAGCAAGGAGGAACCCTCATTTTAGGTCCAGGTAAGCATCAAAGCCCAGATTCGGGAATTAATATGCTTCCTGTGCCTTTTAGAAGCCCAGATGCCACCCCTTTTCTTCATAAAATAGTCACCATGTGAAAATGAGGAGCCTGACTTTATAACAGAAAGAAGCTTTCATAGGAAGCTTTCTTTTTTTCCTCCCAAAGACTTATGTTGTTGTTGTTATGTGCAGTTGAGTCAGACCAACTCATAGCAACCCCTCTTTGGGTTTCCGAGGCGATATCACTACAGAAGTAGATTGCCCAACCTTCCTTCCGAGGAGTGGCTGGTGGGTTTGAACTGTCAGCCTTCTGGTTAGCAGTCAAGTGCCTTGGGCACTACACTACCAGAGCTCCTATGCTCCTAGATAAATATATATATATATATATATATATGTTAACTTTTCCCCCATGCTTATTGAAAGTGCTCTCGTTGATAAAACAACAACAGTAACAACTAAACACCCAGTAATATGCCACATACTTTTAACAGCTTTATTGATCAGTTTGGAATGCCTGAAATTCCTTTTAACATCTCTCTCCCATGTTCAAATATTACATTAAGGACAAACAGCCATGTGATCATGTCAGTAAGCCTGTAAAAACAGCATGGCAAAGGCATCTGACCTCCTCTAACTTTGTAAGAGAGGAATCAAGATCAACAGCCTAAGGCCGATTCCTAAGAGATAGAGGTCAGACATGGCTCCACCCTCTTATCTTTTTTACCAATTCTGGCAACAACTGTCCCTCCTATGGCACTCTCACCTTCTCTGCTGGGTTGGATAATTCATTGCAATGGCCACACAGAATTCTCACACAATACTCATGATTATGGGGTTTATTAGGAAAGTTGTTGTTGTTACATGCTGTGGAGTCAGATCCACCTCATAGCGACCCCTCCTTAGGTTTCCGAGGTGGTATCACTGTGGAAGTAGATTGCCCAACCTTCCTTCTGAGAAGTGGCTGGAGGATTTGAACTGCCAGCCTTCTGGTTAGCAGTCAAACGCCTTAGGCACTATGCTACCAGAGCTCCTCTATTAGGGAAGTAGCAGGTTACAATTCAGGATCAGAAACAACCCAGAAGTACAATTCTTTGATCAGGACAGCCTCTTCTCAGCCCTACCCACAGGCTAGCCTCCCTCTGGCCTTCAGCTTCTCAGCCCTGTGACCCCTTGGCATCTGCCCTGCTTGGGCAAACATTGCAAAGCTTTTTTAGTTCTCCCAATAAGTGCTCTGGTAGCATAGTGCCTAAAGCACTTGACTGCTAACCAGAAGACTGGCGGTTCAAACCCACCAGCCACTCCTTAGAAGGAAGGTTGGGCAATCTACTTCCAGAGTGATACTGCCTCGGAAACTCAAGGAGGGGTCGCTATGAGTTGGGTCCAACTTGACAGCATATAACAACAACAACGATAAGTGCCCAAAGGCATCCCATTCTGCCAATAAGCCTCGGGCGAAAGGCACTCAATTCTAGCTCTTTGGATTGGCAAACCTAGCTCCACCAGATGCGTGGAGGTAACCTACTCTGCCAGCAAGCCTCTGGCCTGAAGATGTTCACCTTTCTCACTCCATGGGCCAGGAACCCCACAGCGCCATCTCCCACTGGTCTCCTGGTTCTGCTGCCTCTGTGGCCATCCTTTCTCTGCTGCTGCTTCTCCCTGTCTCTCACCATTTCAGCAAGGTGTAACAGCTGTCCTGTCTCCTGGGTTGAGGAGGTTCCCAGCACAGGATGCTCCCATCTCTTATTCTTGGTGATAGTCAAGTCCCCTCTTTTTTGCCTCTGGGATGGCTCGTTTTAAGACTATTGGGATGGCAAAACTGACCAATCCCTGGTTAGGGTTCCATATACCTCATTTGCAAGATCTGCCCTCACAAGGGTGCCAGGCACTTTATTTACATTATTAGCAAGCTATCCAGTCCCTCTGGTGGGCTGAAAGTGCGTCACATTTGCATAGTCCCACCCAGTCATCTGGTGGGAGTCACTAACGGCTAGAAGGGCCATACCAAGCAATTCACTGTACTTCACTGTACTTCCTCTTTAAATTTGTCCACTTTAATGAGTATAGTTTCTAAAAGTTAACAGAATTAACATTTACTTTGATAAATTCCAGATGTCTAAAGGAAAGTCTTTAGAAGAAGAATTTTGACCAAGTATTATGACTGTCTTTTTGCACCTGGAACACTATAATTAAAATCTGTCATTTAATTTAATTTAATTTATTTCCAAGCCACTCCTTGGAAGGAAGGTTGGGCAATCTACTTCCGTAGTGATACTGCCTCGGTAGCCTCTAAGGAGGGCTCACTATGAGTCAGATCCAACTCAGTGGCAGTGAGTTTGGATTTGGTTTAACCTCCTCATGAATTTACACCAGTTAGCTGAAAAAGAAGCCCTGTTTTATGAGAAGACTGAGTTCTATAAACTAGTCCAGAATGAAATTGAGCTATATTTTTAAATGCTTTATTTCCATCCTTAGAAATGAAAGGGGTGCATTTGAGTCCCTCATCTCTGTATCTGATCATTTGAACACACCTCAGTTGTATAAGAATGAAGAGTTCATGGAGAGCTTCATTTGTTTGCCAAGTGGGGAACAAATGGAATAGAGAAGACGTTTTGTCAGGAAACATGTAACTCTTCTAAAGAAAAGATTATCACCATTTGAAGGTTGGGCAATCCTACTTCTGTAGTGATACTGCCTCGGAAACCCAAGGAGGGGTCGCTATGAGTCGGGGCTGACTCGACGGCACATAACAACAACAACATTATAATAGCTAACCCAGTGTTTCATTTTACTGTATTTGATAATCAGCCAATTTATGATAGTAAGCCCAGTGACTATTGCTACAGATGAGTACAGTGCAGAAAACTTGCCTCATGATACTGAATTAATCTAATCTTTTAGGTTAAAATTCTAATCTTGACTGCAGGAATTGAAGTAAATAGAACCTGGACTACAAATTATGACTTCTTTTATTTGAGCAGATAAAAGCAGTCTAGTACTAGTAAGTTTACTGTAACTGATCTTAATGTGCTTATTGTTAGCCTCTTTGAACTATGATTTTAATGCAGCTACTCTATTAAATCAGTATTTGGGAGTGAGTTTTTGAGTTAATTATTTATTCCATTATTGTCTTTAAGAAGAAGATGTGATTTTCCTCCTTGATATCTGTTTCAATTCCTAATTCTGCCTGTCTGACAGGACATTTGGTTTAATTATATTTAATAAAACCTAACAGAAGGTTATAATTTAAGAATCATTCCCCTTGGATCTCATACAACATTAAGTATCACTCTCATTTAAGCATAATATATGTCATGCTTTATTGCCATAATTAAAAATTATTAGGTCATTATGTAGAGAATATAATGTACTGCAGGTAATTAATTTTTCCCTCTGGATTAATTAAAAGTTGAAAAGCTTCCTTGATTCTACTAAGCAATAAATCTAATGAATAATACTTCACATGCCAACCTCAGCCTTTTATTCTTACTCTCTTCTAGGTAACAACATCCATTTCATACACCACGACAGGAATAGGTTGGACCACAAACCTATCAACTCTGTTTTACAACTTGTAGGAGTTAAGCATGTCAACTTTACAGATAGACCTTCAGTTATCCATGTGTGACTTTATACACAATATGTCACTTCTAAACAACCCCTCGGGAATGTGCCCTTAAATATTTGGGGTATAATATCCTCATTAAATATCTAACTTGATGACTGTACTGTCCTCTAAAGAGTTATAAAAACATAAAGAGATAATGTACCAGTTGAACCTCATGCTGAGAGACATAAGTTGTCAAAAAATGTACTTTTATATAAAACTTTTAAATTTATAAATACCATTCTTAAATTTTATTTTACATTATGATATATTCATTCAATGAAAGATTTATTTTTTGCCTTTGAAATCATAAATGCTTAGAAGAATATATGGGGCAAAGGAAAGGAACACAAGACTATTATATTCAGTGAGAAAAGCAAGATATCAAATTGTGTAAATAATATAATCCCATTTTATGTGTATCTGTTTATACTATTGTATGCTTAGAAAAGACAAGAAATAAGTGCATCAGAATATTGCCAGGAGGGATCTAGTGGTAGAGTTATAAGTGTTTTTGTTTTTTTTTTCCCAGACTTTTTTGTATTTTCTAATGAGTATAATTAATTTGGGGAGGGGTTCAAGAAAAAATCTTTAAAAATTATATGAAGAACATATTCCTAAAGAACAAGTCCCACAAAGATGCAGATTAAATAGGCTGTAATTTACATGCTTTCATCCTAACTGCAAAACTTGGAGAGAATGTGACAAACCAGACCCCTTTCAGGTGGCCCATGTTCAAAGTGTCTTGTCACTACCCACCCACTATCAGTTTCACTAGAATTTTTTGTTTTGTTAAAAGGAGAAAAAATACTTGTTCCATCTGTTTTCAGATGTATCTAAAAATTGGTTAGTATGCTTTAGAGAAAGGACTTTAATATTTTTTTAAAAAAAGAAAAACTTTTTAATGTACACTGTGGTTTTGCCATTCCTAAATGGCTATTATTTATCACCTCCAACTTACTTTTATCTAGTGGACTATTGCCATCTTTTATATATGTATATATAGAATCTTAATATGTTTTAACATGTTCTAGAAATTCCAATGGAAAGCACAAACACAATGAAAATATTAATAATTATGAACAAGTATAATAGTACTTTGAATTTACAATGCTTTTATATAAAGCTTATGCAGTCACACACACACTGCATATATATAATATACTTAATATATACATTGAGAAGAATGGGAATCCCTGAGCACTTGATTGTACTCATGAGGAATCTGTACCTTGACCAGGAGGCTGTCGTTCGAACAGAACAAGGGGACACTACATGGTTTAAAATCAAGAAGGGAGTGCGTCAGGGTTGTATTCTTTCTCCACACTTATTCAATCTATATGCTGAGCAAATAATCCGAGAAGCTGGACTATATGAAGAAAAACATGGTATCAGGATTGGAGGAAGAATCATTAACAACCTGAGATATGCAGACGATACAACTTTGCTTGCTGAAAGTGAGGATGACTTAAGGCACCTACTGATGAAGGTTGAAGAATACAGTCTGCAGTATGGATTACATCTCAACATAAAGAAAACAAAAATCCTCACAACTGGACCAATGAGCAGCATCACGATAAATGGAGAGAAGATTGAGGTTGTCAAGGAATTCACGTTGCTTGGTTCTACAATCGATGCCAACGGAAGCAGCAGTCAGGACATTAGACGACGTGTAGCATTGGGGAAGTCAACTGCGAAGGAACTGTTTCAAGTGCTGAGGAGCAAGGATATCTCCTTGAGGACTAAGTTGCACCTGACACAAGCCATGATATTTCCAATCGCCTGGTATGCATGTGAGAGCTGGACAATGAATAGGGAAGACCGAAGAAGAGTTGATGCTTTTGAGTTGTGGTGCTGGCGAAGAATGCTGAAAGTACCGTGGGCTGCTAAAAGAACTAACAGATCTGTCCTGGAGGAAGTGCAGCCAGAATGCTCCTTGGAAGCAAGAATGGCCAGACTTCGTCTCACCTATTTTGGTCATGTTGTAAGAAGGGACCATTCCCTGGAGAAGGATGTCATGCTTGGTAGGGTGGAGGGTCGACGAAAGAGGGGGAAGCCTTCAGGGAGATGGATTGATACAGTGGCTGCGATGATGGGCTCGAATATAGCAGGGATTGTGGGGCTGGCGCAGGATCGGGCAGTGTTTCGTTCTGCTGTGCATGGGGTCGCTATGAGTCGGAAACGACTCGACGGCACTTAACAACAACAACAACAATATATACATATTTATTATCTCCAAATATTTAAATGTTGTGGTAGTTAAATTTGTGTGTCAACTTGTCTGGGCCTGGTAGAGTGGCAGGGCAGCTGTTGTTGTTGTTATGTGCCGTCGAGTCAGACCCAACTCATAGTGACCCCTCCTTGGGTTTCCGAGGCAGTATCACTACAGAAGTAGATTGGCCCATCTTCCTTCCAAGGAGTGACTGGTGGATTTGAACCACCAACCTTCTGGTTAGCAGTCAGGTGCCTTAGGCACTATGCTACCATAGCTCCCGGCTGGGCAGCTAGTGGTTGTTATTCCCTATGATGAGACTGGCAGTCAGCTCCATGGTGGGATCTACCACAAGCAGCTGAGTAGCTGCCTTTGGGATGTGGTCTGCTTCCTGTATATAAGGGGAAGCCTTGGGGATAGTCTCTAGCTTATGGCACGCTTGGACCTGAGTGTGGCCATGTCATTGTTCAGCAGCCTGCCATGCTCTACCGACCTTAGGTCTTACAATGGACTTGAATTAATGGCCTGCCGTGTGGTTTGGTAACATTGCGACAGTGCCATTTTATTTGTTGACCTTGAGCTTGTTAGCCTCAGCAGCCAGTAGCTGCCTGAGGGAAGAAAAGCCTCTAGCTTCAGTGAGCCAGGAGAAGGAGGCAGAGCTGAAGCCCAAGGTTGGGGGGCTTTCACACAGCCCCTAGAGCCTAGCACTTTGAACTCGGATTTCTGGCCTCCAAACTGTAAGAGAATAAACTCCTGTTTGTTCAAGCCATCCCATTTGTGGTATATTCTTGTCAGAGCAGCACTAGGTAACCAGAACAAATGTATTTTCATGTATATGTACATGGTAGACAGTCATGCTTTTAATCAATAAAAATGAAATTTCTCATAAAATGTAAAATTAAGATGTAATGTGTTATTTTTATGTAAAAATAAGACTGATAACCCAGAACCCTTTGCTGATTTTAGACTTAAAACTGCTGAATCAGAAGTTACACAAAAATTTATAGCTTATAAGTATATGCTACAATTTCTAAGATAAGTACGTGTTCTTTATGTGGCTGCAGGGAGGTACAGTTACATAAGTACAGTGCAGTGGTAAACTGTCCAAACAAATGCATGTAATATAAAAATTACCTATGTGCCAGGATATGAACATACCTCCATATTCAGTAGTACACGGGACTTGAAACTCCTTCTTGTTATCAATACATAGAAATACTGAATAAAAGAATAATAACATCTAACACTTTTATGGTATAATGATTTGTGAGGCACTAAGCAGCAGTCAAGAAATCAAAGGATGTATTGCATTGGGCAAATCTGCAAAAGGTCTCTTTAAAGCGTTCAAAAGCAAAGATGTCACTTTGAGGACTAAGGTGAGCCTGAATCAACCCATGGTATTTTCAGTTGCTTTATATGCATGCAGAAGCTGGACAGTGAGTAAGGAACACCAAAGAAGAATTAAAGCATTTGAATTATGGTGTTTCCAAAGAATATTGATTAAAGCATGGACTGCCAGAAGAATGAGCAAATCTATCTTGGAAGAAGTACAGCCAGAATGCTCCTTAGAAGTGAGGATGGCAAGACTTCATCCCACACACTTTGGACATGTTATCATGAGAGACCAATCCATGGAAAAGGGTGTCATGTTTGGTGTAGTAGAGAGTAAGGAAGACCCTCAGTGAGATGGACTGACACAGTGGCTTCAACAATGTGCTGAAACATAACAATTGTGAGGATGGTGCAGGACCAAGAAGTGTTTCGTTCTGTTGTGCATAGGGTTGCTATGAATCAGAACCAACTCAGTGACCCTGAACAATAACATTCCAACTACTTTGCATACATTAACCCTATGAACTGGGTATTATTATTATCCCCATTTTACAGAGAAGAAACAATATCTTTTTTCCAAGCTGAGCTTACAAGAAAGTGAAGAAATCACCAGAGCCAAAGCAGGCTGATGGCTTTGCATTGAAGCCATGGGCTACCCTGAGGTCCATTCTAGACCTGAGGAAGGTAGTTCCTTGGTATAACTCAAGGGCTTTGTACAGTAGACCATTAAAACTAAGATGCTTGCATAAAACTAGGAACTAAGATCTATGATTGAGACCTGGGACTTCTAAGGGCTATAACCCTTATTGTAAGAATGGGCTATACTCCACAGCCAGCTACCCAGAGGGAGCAAGTAGTTGGACCTCTGGGCTCAGGACCATAGTTGAGGGGACATCAAGCTCAATTGGCATAACATGCTACACAAAAAAAAATTGTTCCACATCCTACTTTGGCAAGTAGCGACTGGGATCTTAAAAGCTTGCAAGCGGCCATCTAGATGCAATGATGGGTCTCTCCTCATCTAAAGCACAGAAGAAGGAAGAAAACCAAAGATGCATAGAAACAATTAGTCCAAGGGACTGGTACACCATGCGATCCTCAGCCTTTGTGACTATGAGACCAGAAGAACTAGATGGTGCCCGGCTACCACTGTCAAAACACTCAGAGGGTGATCTATATAGGAGATCCTGGATAAAGTTGGAGAACAATGTGGAACAAAACTCAAAATCATAAAATAAATTTTTTTAAAAAAGGGGGGGTTGAGGACCAGATTTGCTGGTCTGATAAAGCCTGAGACTATGGCCCCTCGCTCCCCTTCAGGTCTGGAATTGAACTCACTCCTGTGGCTTCCAACCAAACAAAAGACAGGCATATGAGCTGAACATTAGGTAGATACACTCTTTGGAGAGATCAATCATGGGAGAATAGAAGGGTTATGTATGCACAAGGAGACAGCTTGCGGGACAGGAGTGCAAGGGAGGGATGGACACAAGGGAGAGGTGGCTATGGAGAGGAAGTGGGAGGAAAGCTGTTGCACTGTGGGAGGTTAAAGTCAATGTCATGAGACAAAGTGTATGTAAACTGCTGTGTGGAAGAAGAATTTGCTCTGTAAACTTTCACCCAAAT